TTTTTAGCCTCTGCCTCCATACAGTCCTAAAGCTATTGTCACATCTTTGTAGATTTTTTTTTAATGGAAGCCTTCCAGAACCTTTCAATACTAACTTCTGTATTAGTTACCTATTGCCATGTAACAGACTACCCAAACTTTGTAGCTTAAAACAATACATTATTGTTAATTTTCATAGAATTGTGGATGGGCTAGGATGTTTGCTGGTTCCATGTAAGTTCTTTCATGCAAATTTATCCAGTTGGTAGGTTTGCTTAGGCTAAGCTCAGGTGAAAAAGTACTGCTCTTGGGTCTCTTTCTTCTTGTGGTATTCCATCTCAAACTTCCTTACCACATGGTGATCTCTGGCAAGCATTGCAAGAGTTCAAAGACAGAAACTGCAGGACCTCTTGAAGGCTATACTCTGGAACTTAGGGTCAATTCTGCCACATTCTGTTGATGAAAACAAGTCATAAAACTGGCCTAAAATCAGAGGGGCAAATAAATAGATTATACATGTGGGTGGGAGGAGTAACAAAATCACATTGCAAAGGGATGTAGATATGAAAAGGGAGGAATTTGTGTCTATTAAATAGTATAAATAATATGTAAAAATATAAGAATAATCACTAGATAAGAAAGATCCCTGAAACAAAACCAGGATGCTGTTGTGGTTTCTACCGAGATGTTCCTCCAAAACCTCATGCATTCATTAGGTGAGACTTTTCTTCTTTTTTGGGGAGGTGATTGGTTCATGGGGGTGGGCTTATAGCTAAATGTGGTGTTGGAAGGTAAAGCCTGATCAGAGGAGGTGGGTCAGTTAAGCAGGCCTATTTGGAGGAGCAGAATCAAAGAATGTGGAAGAGTGGTGACAAAAATCATCTGACGTGTTTAGAAGTATGGAAAATTTATTGCTGTGTGACAGTTTTTGAAGCACTTGGAAAAGTAATTACCAAGTATAAAGGCAAAAAGGAAATGGAAACAATACAATAGTGATCCCCCCAGTTACCTAGGAATAAATTTAACCAAAGCAGCAAAAAATACTGTATAAAATATTGATTAAGGAAATTGAAGGGGACACACAAAAAAGAAAGATATTCCATATTCATGGATTGGAAGAATTAATAGTTGCATATCCATACTAAAATCAAGCTAAAGATTCAGTATAATTCCTGTCAAAATACATTCCTTAACTAGAAAAAAACAATTCTGAAATTCATATGGAACCCCTCCTCTACACACACCTGAATAACTGAAGCTTTCTTGAACAAAAAGAACAAAGAGGCATTATACTACCTGACTTCAAAGTGCCCCTTAAATCTGTAGTCATCAACAAAAGAATGCAATGGATTGGGATCTAGCTCAGTGGTAGAGCACTTGCTAGTATGTGTAGGGCTCTGGGTTCAGTCTCCAGTACCACAAAGCAAAAGCAGAAAACAAAAACAAAAACAAAAACAAACCAACAACCTAGAAACGGAAGAAAAACAGCAATTATATTGGCATAAAAAAGACACGTAGACCAATGAAATAGAATAGAAAGCCTAGGAGTAGTTGTCTTGCATCTCCAGCCAACTGATTTTGACAAGGATGAGAACATGCAGTGGAGAAATGTGGTCTTTCCATATAATTTGGTGCTCTAGTGTTAGGTGCATATGCTTCCAAGATTTAGTTATTATGAGTTGTGCCGCTATAAACATGAGTATGCATGTATCACTGTAATACAGTATCATCCACTCTTTTGGAAGATCCCCAGAAGTATAGCTGTGTCAAATTAAATTTCTATTTTTAGTTTTCTGGGGAATCTTCATACTGATTTCCATAGTGGTTGCACTAGTACATTCGTACCAACAATATAGAAGTTAATAGAACTAGAAAAAGGTAATAGAAAAAAGCAAACAAGAAAAAGAAAACAAAGATAAGAAAATAGAATGAAAGCAGAAGCAGATAAACCAACAAACAAACACCACCAAAAATACAAACAAAGAGAAATGAGTCAAAGAATTCTTCCCTGTGTTTGGGTGAGTGGTTTCCCTACAGGGCCTGTAGTATTGGAATCCACTAGATAAGGGTGAGGGACGAGTGAGTCACAATTAGGGCCTATTTTGTTTCCACTATACCACCATTAAAAATAGAAAAGAATTCAGCAATAATAGCATAAAGTCAATGAAATAGCTAAAAATTAATAAAGCTTAATAATAATAATAAAATTAATTTTCATGTGAATGTCTTGTCTGCCTGTGGGTTGTACTCATTCCAGTAGCTTTTAGTATTTGTGGCCTTCTATGTGCACCAAGTCATTGCTGTCTCTTTCTAGCTTTGTGGCTCATGCACATGAGAGGTACCTCCTTTAATCTAGAGATGCCTTCCTCCATGCACCCTGATAAGTGACAATCATCTAAACTAAGGTGTATCCTCAAATGTATTGGCAGATGGGGAAAGCAAACAAACCAGTGTGCTCTGTGCTGGAAGTAGCAGCAGGAGGAGTTAAGTTGTTCGTTGCACTTAATCCACCTCTTTCAGACCCAGCCTCCTTAGAAAACCACTCAGGACCAACCTGGCTTCTCATCACAGGGTGGGACCGCCATGTCTTTCCAGCCTGAGCTCACAGATGCTTAAACTTCTCAAGGGTTCTGTGACTAGTTTGTCCCCCCTCCGTGATTCTCGAATGGCCATCTCCTATCCACTCACTGTAATAGGGTGACTCCAGAAACCCTTAAGTATGATTTCTGATACCTGGAGTAGCTTAGCCTTAAACAATTAAAATTCCCAAAATGGCTCCTGATGATATCATTCCCATGTGTGATTGGCATTGCAGTGGATTTCTTCTCTGGCTCTAGCCTGCCACGTGAAAGGAATCCCTTTAAGAGTAAAACCTCATACTGCATTTGCAGCTTATGGTAGCCATGGGCTTTTCTTGGCTGTAGCAGAGCTGACCCTCTTGGGCTTACCTTGTGCTTGGGGAGCGGTGTCCCTCTCCCCAGGAGATGGGGTTAGCATCCCAGACTGCTTTGTTTCTTTTCTTTGTTTTATCTTCAGTTTACTTGTCAGTTCTTTCTTGATACCTGGAGCTCTTTTTTTTTTTTTTTGGCTAAGTTGTTGTTTTCCAGGTGTTTCAATTCCAGGTCATGCTGTGGATCTTTACTCCATCATCAGGGCTACTGCCAAAATATAGACTTTGTCCCTTTGTTCTCTTCTCTTTCCGGAACTGTATGACAGGTTTTCACTTTATCTTTCTTTCTTTTTTTTTTTTTCCCTTAACCTTTATTCTATTTTGTTTTTGTTTTTTGCAATACTGGGAATCAAAACCAGGGGCACTCTTCCACTGGGCTGCATCCCAACTTTTTTATTTTTTATTTTGGAACAGGGTGTCATTAAGTTACCCAGGCTGACCTTGAACTTGTGATTATCCTGTCTGTTTCCTAAGTAGCTGGGATTACAGTTGTGTGCCACCATATCCAGCATTTGTTCTTCTATTTTTTTTTATCTCTTGCATTTAGCTACTTTACAGGACCATTTTCTAGCATTCTAATTCATTTTTCAAGCTATGTTCAGTCTTCTGGAGTGGAGCCAAAATATAAATTGTGTATATAGACAGTCTTCTGAAAAACATATGAATTATCTGTTTTTGATCATGTACTTTGGTGAATATCTATAAATTTGACTAAATCTAAAATCACTGCTTTTTTTTTGCATAGTCTCAACCTTGATATTCTTTAAACATATTGTAGCTGTTATGTAGACTGTATGTGATAATGTCAAGAATCCCCAAAATGTGTATTTGTTTTGCTTTTTTCTGCTGGTTCCCATAATACCACGTCTCCTTCCATGCCTGGTTATCTTTGTGTTTTACTCACTGTCCTTGAAAAATTATTTGTGAAGATTCCTTGAATACCTACCGTGAAGTTGCATTCCTCTATAAGGAATATTTGCTTTTTCTGGGTTCTTAAGTACATTACCAGTCTGGAAGCATTTTAAATTAGATGAATAGGCTTATGTTTTTTTCATCATCCAATGTAATACAAATTTTCCTAACACATTCCTCTGCAATTCAGATTAAGATGAATGTTTGCCAGGGGTTTAAGATATTAATATGAGGCTGCACAAGGAAGTCTGTGTTGGAGTGAGAGTTCTGTATCTCAGTTGTGGTTGTACGGTAGTTACTAGAAGCTGTACACAATAGACATGGAGCTGTAATAAACAAACTATACATGTCTCTGTGTATGTTGCATAAAAATACACACACACAATAAATGCATATGTAACTGTATGATCCTTGTAAACTCTGTGGATTGTTCCAGTGTCAGGTGTATGTTTTTATATTGTGTTATTGTTACACAGGCTGCTGACATTGGAGGAGGCTGAGTGCCTACGTGGTGTATAGGATTTCCCTGTACATTTCTTTGCAACTAATGGTAAATCAATAATTATTTTAAGTTGGAAAGGTTTTATTTATTTATTTATTTTTTGCAGCTTGACTTATGCATTTTCTGTGTTGAAAAGACGCTTAAATACCTTGGTTTTAAAGCAAAAGACCATCACCACAAGCCTCTTCCAATTTTATTGAGTTTAAAGATTGTTCATACTATCCTTGCAAAGTAGCTTGATGTCAAGGCAAGGTTTTGGAGGGAAAGTATCCTTCTAGGCTTGAGCAACAATTGAAGTGTGAAGTGTTGCCTGCCATTTAAGAACCCAAGCTGGAGAAGTCTGGTGTGTGGGGGCAGAAAATGTGGTCTCCAAGGTTACTAGGGTACCAGAGAAGGTCTCACCTTGGAAAAATAGGACTGCGGTTGCTAAATGTTTTTGTATGAAGATTAGAGGAGGAATGATAACAAAAGTGTTGTTATAACCCAGAGAATTATGGGATATAGATTGTTATGTTTAAAAAAATTTGATTAGAATACATTTGTAATACTAGTTACATTCATTTTGGGGAATTCAGGTTGTTAAATTTTTATGGTAACTATGCTTTTACTTGAAGAATGTATATAAATGATTTTCACTTAAAACATTTTATATTATAGGAAATAAATATTAATATGGAGAATGAATTCAACTCCAAGTCATCATCATCTGCCCCTACTCTTCAGAGTTCTTCAGAGACAGTTTTTTCTATTCAACTGTTAGATTTCAAAACAAGTTTACTGGAAGCATTAGAAGAATTGCGTATGAGAAGGGTAAGTTTTTTTTTTTTGAAAAAAAATTTTAATTGAAGAACTTGGTTTTTCTTGTTTGTTTTTCAAGGGAAAAATGTCTGACAAAATACCCACTCATTTAGAAAGAAAATATACCATCCAAATAATGAAGCATAGGACAGATTAAGTCTGACGGTCAGCCACATATGGTGATACATACCTGCCAGTCCCAGAATCTTGGAGGCTGAGGCAGGAGGATCACAAATTTGAGCTCACCCTGGGCAACCTAGTGACTTAGTGAGACACTACCTCAAACAAATAAAAAGGGGCGAGGTTGTAGTTCAATGCAGAGGCCTTGGGTTCAGTCTAGCAACGCACACACACACACACACACACACACACACACAAACACACGTGTGCATGTGCATATACAGGCTGATGATCAGAAAAGGGGAGATAAGAAAATTTGGAAACTAAAGTAAAATAATTGAGACATTTTCAGATTGTTAAATATTTGATGATCAGTTAATATTTACTGAGTCTCCGGGAATGTGTGGATAGCACTTGTTAGGTACTGTGGCTGCTTTTGGGAGATTAGATTTTTGTGAAGTTTGTAAAATAGGCACCTAAGAAATAATTACATAATGAAACAAAGCAGCACCTGAATGAGTGATGAAATAAATGTGTGCCTTAAGTATTCTGAATGGAGAGAGTCAAATGTCCTCATTTAAAAGTGTCAACTCAGGATTTAAAAAAGCGCTATCTATCTACTTGCAAGGCCGGCACCAGAACAACTGAGCTAAATCCTCGGCCCTCTTAATGTGTAATTGTAAGATTCTGGTGCTGTACACATCCCCTAATACAAGGCATTTCATTTCTGAGATTGCAGTGATTTGATTTGAATAGTACTTGTTCATTCTGTAGTAGAGATCGGAGCTGGTATAGGACAGAAGAAAATAAAGAGTCCAAGTGTTGCAGCACTGATGTAAAGATGAGGATGGAGGACAGAACCAAATGGGCAGAAGAGTTGACAGAATTTGGTGACATCCTCGAAATAAGCTATGAGTGTGAGAAAAAGATCTGCAACAGAAATTTTTAGTATAAGTTGGATTTTGCTCTGGAATTTAAAATATTGGAATTTATTGCTATAATAAGAAACTTTAAATAATATAGTGTTCATCCTATATAAAGCTACTTGTTAGTGTAGCAGAATTCCATTTAAAGAAAAAATTCTTCTGCCACAGGGTATTGTGGCTAAGCATTTACAGAAATATTTTTGCAGAATTAGCTTAAAATGTCACTCTTCTTGAGTGAAACAACCTTAGATCATTCTCTAATACTTTATATTCTGCTGTTGTTATTTGTAGTACTAGGGATTGAATTCAGGGCCCTCACACTGAGCTACATCCCCAGCCCTTTTAATTTTTAAATTTTTTTATTTTGAGACATGATGTTGCCAAGTTGCTCAGGCTGGGCTCAAAATTGAGATCCTTCTGCCCCAGCTTCTCAGAGTGCTGGAATTACAGATGTGTACACCACACCTGACTATATTGTTTTATTGTGTTTCCTACATTCTGTTTTGGTCTGTTTATATTTCCAACTTGAAAGGAATGTTTCTTTTTTAAAATCTTCTGAAAAATTGAGGGTTAGCAAAGGAATAGTGATTTTTGTTTAAAAATATTCCCCAAACTTCATTTTACTTAGCTTTTTGACTATCAGCTTGTGCTGTCAACACTTTTGGGGTGATTTTTCTGCACCTTGGTAAGGAAAACATGCTTGATTCTGTCATGGACACATTTAGCACACATGGGACTCCACTGTAGGCCTACTGACATGTTTTGCCTTTTTCTTTTCAAGAATTCAATTAAATATTTATTGAATGTAGAATAAATGATCTAAGGAGTATTTTAATCTAAAAATTTGATAACATCAATATTCAGAGGGCTGTCACACAAAGAATGGAGACCTGTTCAACAGTTCTTTAAAAGGTAGAACTTGAAACAAGAGAAAATACAGGCAACGATCAGGCTGCAGGAGAGTCATACAGAGTGTATCACTTATCTTAGTAGCTTCTTTTCCATATAATACATCCCACACTTAACTTGTCCCTTCCTCTGAAAGGAGATATCTGAACTTACCATTTCTCATGACCATTCTAAGTTGCACTTCCATAGCAAGCTGTCCTCTGCTAGCAATGGATATACGCGTACTACTGGAAGAACATCTGACATCAACAAACTAGTTTACTCAGGAAATGTCTATTTGTTTCTTAGTATTCTACTTTAATGATTCTTGGGAGGTGGGAATAAAAGAGAGCCTATTCTCCCAAGGATCGTCACAATCCCGGCAGTTCAGGTACTGCCCTGGGGACATCCTTCCTCCTGCCCCAGATGTAGCACTACAGGTACCCCTTTGGGTGTGGATGGGAGTAGCTGCGTGCTGGCCAGGAGAAGACAGCTGAGGACTATGAGTCTACAGGAGGTGGGAGAGCTTTTTCATAAGTGACTAGCGCATATAAACCAGCTGCAGACTACTGACAGCTCCAACCAAATTGTTACATATTACAAAATGAGAATTGCTTCAACTATTTGGCATAATATTTAAGGACAAAGATATATATGATTACTTTATACTATATATGGCGTTTTATCACATACTCCATAAGGAATGCCAAGGTGCTTAGTCCATCTAGTACTCTGAAAACAAAAATTTTACAGTTCTCTATTTGTCAGTGTACAGTTGGTAAGACAGATGCAAGTTTGCAGTTCTGAAAGTACGGTTACATATACTAGGTTTGATCAAAGAAGCACATAGATGATGAGAGCCAGTTAGGTTTCTTTCACTGTTAAGAAAAGTTATGAATAATCAAGGGAGGAAGGCTAGATTGAACACTTTGGTGCTGGATTAGAACTGGAGAGTTTAGCATGAACCCAGGGTTTAGTATAAATAGATGGAGCTGGGAACAAAGAGTATACCTATAATTTCCAGCAACTGAGGAGGCTGCATCAGGAGGATTGTGCATTCAAAGCCAGTCTGGGCAAGCTAGTGAGGCTCTGATTAAAAAAAAAAAGAAAAAGAAATATAAACAAACATAGATAAATATGTGTATATATGCATATGCCTTAATAAACATACATTTACCTTCTAACTGTATTTGCTAAAAGGGCCTAGAAGTGCTGGCATCTAGATTTGGAGCTCTAAATATCTTTTCTAATAGAAGGAAGCTCAGGGTTCCATGGAGAAATGTGTATTCCAGGCCGGAAGCCTGTAGAGCTGGAAAGTAAGGAAATACTTCAAATGATATCAAAGGATGCTTAAGACAACTGGAGAGGGTGCTCATGGTTACATGGGCACAATTTGAGTAGCAAAATAATGATAGTGTTGGATTCTCTATTGATGTAAATTAATGATTGCTTGAATAAATAAATGGTAGAGAGAGATAACTCTTTACAGAAGAATACCAGCTAGTAAATGTAGGAAGTAGACAAGAAATAGAAAATTATCCTTACAAAACCAGAGTAGCAGTCACTATAGGCAAGATCCACTGATGACTGCTAAAACTAGCAGATGAAACTTTATTTTATTATTATTTGTTTTCAGCAGATGAAATTTTAAAGGAGAAACAGGATAGTTGTGTAGTCACACAGTATTCTCCCAAGATCTTTAGTAAATACTGAGGTGATCTTATACATGTTCACAAATTGCTTGATATTTCTTAGTTCCACTCTCTTCCCCTTGCTCCTCTTTTTGATTATAGACTATGTGGCTTGTTTCTGATGACTAGAATATGTAAAGAGAACAGTAAGTTCAAAGTGAGATACCTTAACTAAGGAATTAATGTTAACATCCTAGAGATAATTACTGTTGATATTAGTAATTCACAGGAGTAGCCAATACTCCTGCTGTAATTGGTGAGAACTTCACCTGTGTAGTATTTGCTCCCAAACCAGATTTAATCACAAAAAATCAAATAAACTCCATCTGAGGAATATTCTACGAGATGCCTTAGTAATACCCCTCTAAAGTGTTCAGGTTATGAAAAAAGATGGAAGACTGTGGAACTATGACATGACAACTAAATGCCACATGGTGGATTGATTCCTGGGACAGATGTTGTTAGGAAAACTAATGAGATATGAACAAACCCTGTAAGTTGAAATAGTATTATACTACTGTTGGTTTCTCAGCTTTGATAAATTTATCAAGTTGCCCAGGATGTTAACATTCAGAGGAGTGGGGTGAAGAGTATACAGGAACTCTGATTTTTTCAACTCTTCTGTAAATAAAAATTATTTCAAAATAAGAAATTTTATGAAATTAGGGCTCGAGACAGTGGCAACTCAAGAAATACTATAGTACAAATTCATTACGATTGCTTTTTTATTTTAAAGAGAATTTAAGCAAGCAAACTGTACTTGGTCATTCCACATTTCCTGAGCACTTCTGTCGATCTGATATTATCAGATCGTGTAGCAGCAGTGGTGTGCACAGACCTGTGAGGCTGGGCTAGAGCAGCAGTGAGGAGAGCGTGATGGAGGAGCAACAGCAAGAGACCCGAGTGAGCGGGCCTCTGGGCCATCCTGTGCAAGGGCTTCGCGTTGCATTAAATCTTTGCCAGTAGTCATGCTTTAGCTTTGTTGATTCTCTCCATCATTTACGTCTTGTTAATATCTGCTCTTTGTTATTTCCTTCACTTATTGTATTTAATTTGTTGTTTGTTTTAATTTGAAACGGTGGAAATGGATATTTAATTCATTAATTTTCTCATATAAATTTCTCTGTACCCTGGGTTTAGCTGGATCCAAATTTGTATGTATTTTGTCTTTTAAGTTATACAGTTCAAATCATTTTCCAATTTTCACTGTACTTTCCTCTCTGACACATAGATGTGTGTATATATATATATTGCTTTCTTTTAAACATATTTGAGCTCTGAAGGCTGAGGTGGGCAGATCACTTGAGTCAAGTTGGAGACCTGGGCAATAGACTGAGATCCCATTAAAACAATAAATAACAACAAACAAACAAACAAAAATATTTGG